AGCAGGCGGGGTGGGGGAGGCACTGTGGAGTGGTGGGGGGCGGCCCAAGGGGCTGGGAGAGGGTCCGGCCCACTCTGCACCTGGGCTGGGACTGGTCCCGCCGGCGCAGGGTAGCAGGAAGCTCTCCGCACACTCACCGGACCTGGGCTAGGACTCTACAACCTCTTTTCTAATAAACAGTTAATGTTTTTATTTATGTAGCTCAAGATGAAGAACCACATAAAATGCCTACACTTCAACATCAAGATGCACCATCAAAACGTGGAATGCAAGGAAAGAAAAAAAAAACTTCCAATGAAGAAAGACATAGTCGTAAGGATAATAATTTTAACTTAGATTTTTTTAAATCAGGTCTTTATTCCTCCATTCATAAATATACAAAATTATAGAAACTTTATACTTGGACCTAACGTATGAATATCCTAGAGTAACTGAAGACAAAAATCAAAGGTGGTCACATGTTTTGGTTAGAATCTTGTCCTTCAACTATTTCATGGCCAACATCATGCTTGCTTTATGTAGCTCAGGATGGAGAACCAGACAAAACTCCTATGCCTGAACATCAAGATGTAGCGTCAGAACTCAGGATGAAAGAACCAAAGACATCCACAGGAGAAAATCATAGCAGTAAATATATTTATGAGATTATTTTAAATGCTCTAAAAAAGTATTTCTTTTCTCTTTGGCTCATTATGTATATAATTTGTAGAAATTTAGAGTTTGACCCTAAAGTATGACTGCCCTTAAGTAACTGAAGACAAAATCAAAGCTAGTCATATTTTTTATTAATTTTATTGAGAAACAAATAGCAATGAGACAGTTTCAAAACCAATTAATAGGACAGTTTCAATAGTTAATACATTGCATATTGTTGTCTTCATAGTGATTATTCATAGTACAAGATGCAGACATGATATCCTGTCCACAAACACTATTAGTACAAATCTTTCTTCTCATTGAATTAAGAGAAAGTAGCTGTATATCTATCCTAATTATTTTGTATATACAAATACAAAATGGTCCTTCCTTTGTATCTCCATTTTTGTTTAGTTTTGTTAGAGATGGGTATTCCATTGCCATTTAAATATTTTAGGTGCGTGAATTCAGCAAAATAATCCAATATAGTCCAGAAGTCCATAATACTAGTGAGTTATATATTAGTCATAGGTTTTAGAATTTTGTCATAAGACTATTTCATGACACACTGAAGTGGTCAGAGAAGTGGAAACGTTGGCATCAAGTATGTTATACTGTAGCTGTAACATTAGTGCTCCAATGGCCCAGGCCTTAGGGGTTTGAGCATATCTCTATTTCTCTCTCTCTCTCTCTCTCTCTCTCTCTCTCTCTCTCTCTCTCTCTCTCTCTCCTGCTTTCTCTTTCTCTCTGTGACATGATCCAGGGTGACCTTGAACTGACTATATAGCCTTGAACATGCTGTCACCCTCCTGCCTCAGCCTCTCCAGCACCGAGCATGTAGGTATGTATCATCATACCTGGCCTTTCCCAGGCTTTTAGTGGTGGGACATCACTTTACAAACATCAGTACTTACTTTGTAAAGTCAGGTTTAGGTGTTAGTTTCATTTTAAAAAATCTTTTTAGGGCCAAGGATGTGCTTCACAGGCTCAACACCTGCCTGGCAAGCACAAGGTTGTGAATTCGATTTCTGGTGCCAAAAGAAGTATCATTTTATAACCTAATGCCAATTTTAGGGTCTTCTGTACAAAATCTACTTTCATTGCTCCAAGTCTGGAAAATGACTTAGAATGTTAGAGATACAGAGTCTGGATAATATAAGTTGCGCTGGACACTGACTTTGAAGGGCTTCTGTGCTATCAGTATAGAAGCCTGAAGTGATTAAGACTTAGCTGTCTTCACTGCTACTTCATGTTGCATATGTATATATTAAATTTACTTTAAAAAGTACTTTTCACAGTTTATAACTTTCCTGTTTTAATCCACAGGTAATGATATAAATTTATTCACAAACTAAATTGAAACAAAAACATTCTAAAGGGCTCTTTCATGACCAAGGTCATTCTCTTTTCATGTAGCTCAGGATGAAGAACCAGAGGAAACTCCTGTGCTTGAACCTGAAGGTGCAGCCTCAAAACTTGGAATGCAAGGAAAGGAACAACACATCCCCACAGAAGGAAGACACAGTGGTAAACACAGTAATTATACAATAACTATGTTTAAAAAAACCAGTTCTTGGCTGGGGAGATAGCTCAGTGGTCTAAGAAAGCACAAAGCCTGGAAAGCAAAAGGACCCAGATTCAATCCATGGTACCACACGCCATGTGCCAGCCCTGTGCCAAACCGGCAACCAAAACCAGGTGTGGTGATGCATGCCTGTAATCCCAGCACTGGGGAGACTGGGACAGGAGGATCACTATGAGTTCGAGCTGTGTAGTGAGACCCTGTACCAAATACATAAATAAATATAAGATTCTTTTAAAAAAAATTTAAAATATAATTTTTTCTCCTTTGATCCATTATACATATAATTTATGGGAATTTACACTTTGATGCTATAAAGTGTGACTACCCTAAATAACTTAAGAAAAGATCAAAGGTAGTCATGTGTTTTGAATAGAATTTTGCCTTAAGATTATTTCACAACTAGGCCATGCTTTCTTTATGTAGCTCAGAGTGAAGAATCAGACAGAACTCCTATGCCTGAACATTGGGATGCAGCCTCAAAACTTGGAACACAAGGAAAGAAACAAAAACCTTCAAAAGAAATAAGACATAGTAGTAAGCAGAATAATTAGAAAATGACTTTAATTTTCTAAACTAGTTATTTTTAGGGTTCATGGTATATATAATTTATAGAAATTTAGAGTTTGACCATAAAATATGAGCACCCTTAAGTAACTGAAGACAAAATCAAAAGTAGGCAGATGTGCTTAGAATTTTGTCATAAGACTATTTCATAATCAAGATCACTCTCTGTTTGTGTAGTTCAGGGTGATGAGCCAGATGAAACATCTATGCCTGAACATCAAGATGCAGCCTCAGAACTTGGAGCGCAAGGAAAGAAACAAAAACATTCAAAAGAAAAGAGACACAGTAGTAAGTATAATTATGAGATAGCTTTCTGCTTAAAATTCTGCTACTTACTGTTGTCCTCAATGTAGTTGCCCAGTTCACAGACATCAGCATACAGAGTTAGTCAAGATGAAAGTTCTACACATTAACTTCTATTTTCAGAATACTGATGGAAATTCTTAATACAATCACCTCAGCCATCCTGTATACATAATTTCATGATTTTTCCCTTACCTTTTTTCCTATCTTTTCTTCATTCTCTCCTCTTCATTGTTTAATCCCTAAATTCTCTTTCTTTCTGTTTTACTGTATCCATTATACCTTTCAGGTTTTATTTCTTATTTTGGGTTCTTATACTAAGGAGACTATATGATATTTACACATGTGGGTTTGGATTATATCACTTATGAGTATATCCTATATACTTGAATACCTGTCATTTTGGTCTTCTAAATGTGTACCGTTCCTAGTTTCATATCAGTTACTGTCTTTAAAATAAATGTTAAAAGGTAATAAAAAGAAAAAAAGACAATAAAAATTTAAGATTTCTTGAAAGCAAGTAGTAATATTCAATCATATGTCCAAACTTGCATAACTATATCTGTTAATCTGAGCAACAGATTTGATGATAAAATAGATAATATCTCAACCACTGTTAATTAACTATTCTTGTTTTAAAAATCTGGAACATATGTATTGCTATATGTTACCTTGTCACTGTCTTTGTTTCTGATTTTTGTTCTTGCTTTTGTTTTTACTCTTCAAAATAAAATAAAATGCTAACAAAAAATCAAAGCAAAATACAAATAAACAAAAATTAAATAAATAAAATAAAATAAAATAAAATTATGCTACTAATTTTGCTTAGGTCATTGAAAGATGTGTGCTAATATTGTTTCGTCAAACTTTCATGCCTGTACATTGTACTCTCAATAACTGCTTTGAAGATAACAATATGAAATGTATTAACCATTGTTACTCTCCCATTATCTTGTTTTGAAATTTTGGGGTTTTTTTATTCTCTTTAAAAAATAAAATGACAAGTTCATTATTAAAAATTTTAAAAACAGCTCCTTTTGGGGGGTTCATAATGTATATAATTTATAGAAATTTTATACTATGACCATAAAAAGTGTGAGGATCTTACATAGGTGGACAGAATATTGTCATAAGACTATTTTGCAACCAAAGTCATACTTCCTTTGTGTAGTTCAAGGTGAAGAACCAGACAAAATTCCTATACTTGACCAAAACGATGCAGCCTCAAAATTTGGAATGCAAGGAAAGAAAAAAAAATCTTCCAAAGAGGAAAGACATAGTTGTAAGTATAATTTTCAGCAACTTTAATATTTTAAAATCAAATCTCTCTTAGTTCATGAACGCATATAATTTATATAAATTTTATACTTTGACCCCAGAGTATGAATACCTTAAAGGCACTCAAGATCAAAAACAAAGATGGTCATAGGATTTGATTACAATATTGTCATAAGATTATTTCACAACCATGGTCATGCTTTCTTTATGTAGCTCGGGATGAAGAACCAGACAAAGCTTCTATGCCTGAACCTCAGGTTGCAGAATCACAACTGGGAAAGCAAGGAAAGAAAAAAAAATCTTCCAAAGA